TGGTCTTTAAACCTGACGAAGCTGCTTGAAGAACAAATTCGTTCAGGCAAACTTCGTTAAAGCCAGGGTGATCCAAAATGCATTTCCTTTCATCGATTTCGAACTGATACATTTTACCACGGCATTGCTCTATTTCCATGCAACATCGGCACTCTTGAGGGTTGACAACAAGATCCAACGAACAATGGCCACATTCACACCTTTAATATTGGCTAAATTGTATGTTTCCATAAACTTATCATAGCTAACGGCAGACGATTTAGATCAAAGTAACACACTAAGAATGACATCTTACCATGAAGTAACGTCAACACGGGCATCAAAACGATCTTGCAGCATGTCTTCAACCCGCCGTTCTTTTGCGACTGTAGCTTCGTACTCAGCAATTTCATCAGGCGAAGCAAGCGGCTCAGTATTATCGACAAATGGCAAAATTTCCGAATTAGATTCGTTCGAATTTGCCGTCACAAAAAAAAAAAAAATTAGACATTTCAAATGTTCATAACTTCCTCGTTATATTATTATTTTTGCTTACATTTTACGAAAGCAATAATTGATATGTGTTTAAACTATTGAATGCTAAAATCGATGATTTTTAACGTAAAGTTTTCGTCATAGAACCACTTTAAAGGTTGGTTCTTTAAAGGTTAGATTGGTACTTAGAAGAACCGTTTTTGCAGTTAAATGCCACACAGTAAACCATCTTAAAATAGCCGATCAAAATCAAACTTTATTTATGAATTCATATTTGCCGCTTTCTCGCGCGAAATGTCAATGGCAACTATTACGTCACGCCGAGTACTTTCCGACGATAAACCGACGGAATATTTTTTACTTCTATTCAAAAAAAACACAAATTGACACGTTGATATCTCTTAAAATAATCATGGGATTGTTTTCAAATTTTCTTTGAATAGTCTACGCAATATATACATTTTATATGTCAAATAAACAGAAATATGAATTTTGCATTTCAGGTGAACTTTAAGTAACTGCGTAGTTAACTTGCGTGGAAATTGCGTGGAATGTTGTTTACGTTAAATGATATAAAGTTTAATCAATTTATGCTTTGTAATGGCGGGCAAGTGAACTATAAAATGACTTTAAAATCATGAAAAATCTCTTGGCTTATGTAGAAATCTTAAAATATGGCAAACTATTGTCGTTTTTATGGATGTTGATGAAGCGAAAAGAAAATTTAATAAAAGATTCACGATGACATGGTATCCGGATTAAATTGTAGCATATACTTTGGACTTTTCTCAAGAAAATGGACATTTATCTTCTGTGTAATACAGTACGATGTTGACGAATGATATGAGTCTTGGCAAGGACTGCTTTATTTCATGTACCAATTATATATAACGGACTTGGGCAAACGAAACAATGAACTTTTCTCAAATTGATTCATTTTGTGTTCTATGTGCAAGGATTTAAATAATTGAATGGCCTCGCTTTTACAGAATTTAAAATTGAGAGATTGAGGGTAACAAATTAAAAGGGTCGTCTCGTTTCTCTTTATAACAGCTGAGTAAAATGCTTGAAAGAAATGTGTTTGTACAGACATAAGTCACACATATTTGTAAAAGATGACAGTGATGGACTTTTTTATTATTAGAAAACATTTCTTTGAGTTGTCATAGTTAGTAGTCATGTAATCCAGCAACTGTGTTTTATCGGCTTGTGGCATGTTATTTTCACAGCTATACACAAAATACTTATTTGTTCTTAATTCTACCTTTCAAAAACTGTGTTATAAAAACTATTGGGTATACTTGTTAATGAGCCTTAGCTATGGAACTTTTATTCATGCCTTTGTGATTTATTAGCCTATTTTTGTCTAAAGCTTGGGAGTTCTATTTGTTTCCTACTTTTTGCATCTTGGTAAGTATTTGAATAGCTTTAAACAGCCATTGATGCTATCAGAAATAGTGTATAAAAGAGAAAGATATTGTTTTGCTAATCATTGAAAGAAATCTTGTTATCAAAAAAATTAATCATTGTTTTATGACAAGACATTTAGTCACAGGTATGACTGTATGAGCAAAAGAAGACAGTCATAGACTTTTTATTGATAGACTTGTTAGCAAACATTTCTTAAAGGTCATCATAGTTACAATATAATCTCACAACTGTTATGACATATCTTTCCTCTGTCATTAAAACGTAACATAGGGATATAGAATAAATATTGTATTCATTTCGTCTTCATTGTCATTTCTATCCTGTTAAACTCATGCCATTTTGTTTATTATAGATTTTGAGTGTCCCCAGGTACATAGAATATTTCCTCTTAACTTATTTAATTTAAAATCTATTCTCAAAAATATTTAACCTTTTTCTTTTCGACTATTTAATTCTCATGGTTCAGCTATCTGACTCTTGAAAATTGCTTAATGTACATTTAAAGACAATATATTGTCTTGCATTGTGATATTGATATTGCATAATGAAGTTTTTATAAAATTCATTGGTGATTACTCTGTAGTTGTTTTCAAATGACTCACATCTCTTCTCTGTTACATCATAATCATGCATTCGTTGTGTAACTGTTATCATTGGTAGATGTATTATATCATTTCAATCCAAGATGTCTTCCCTATCAATCACAGCTGAGTCCTCAAATAAAAGTAAAAAAAGAAAACAATTTTAGCCCTGTAGAATGCTCTCTTCTTGTTGAGCTTGTGGAGAAAAATTTGGATGCAATACGAGGGCAATTTTCAAGTAGCATAACAAATGCAAAAAAACAAGAGTTGTGGGAGAAGATAACCTCGCAAATAAACAGCTTGGGGTTTGAAAATCGCACGCCAAAGAAGTGCGTGAAAAATGGAGAAACCTGGCACAGATTGCTAAAAAAACCAATGCTGAAATAATGAGTTCGCAAAGAAAAACAGGGGGAGGTCCTGCGACAAAACCACCACCTTTAACAACGGAGAAAATCATAAATATTTTGGGAGATGAAACTTCATTCTCAGGTATTCAAGGAGGCTTCGAGTCTGGTGGTACATTTGTAGGTAATTATGATCTTTAAAATCTCATTCTTTAAAATGCATAGAAGAATTCTGCGTAAATGAATAAGCAGAAGCAAGATGCTACTTTGTTATTGTCTTTTGCTTACGTTTTAATACTACACAAGGGATTTTAAATTTTCCCGCCATTACGCTAAACATAACAAAATAATTTATACCAACCAACCCATCCCGAAATAAAATGGCCGGCTTGAAATAACCGAATATGTCTTCAGGATGGAGTATTGCCAAAGTTGTTTTACGAAGAATTCGATGCTATAAATACAAAGTACGAAATATGATTTCTATATGCTGAATGAGACAATTGTATTGATTTAAGTTTTGATTATTTATTTGCATAATGGAAAAATATACAGTAAAACAAAAAAGGTAATACGTTTTCATCTTTTCATTGTGCTATGTTTTTTTAACGTTTTGCAGAGAAAGAGAGTAATTCATTTCACTTGAGCACTTTGGTCGAAACCGACGAAGAAGATGAGGGTGGTGAGGACATGGAATTAAGCAAGACTCCAATACCAACAACATCCACATCCAGACTGGAAAGTATGTCGTTTTTCAACGAGATCTCCGGTGCGCACTATGAAATTACTGGTGTGCTGGTGTGCAAAATAAATTTTATGGTGCACTGGTGCGCATATGACGATCAAAGCATAATAATATTAAATTAATATACGAAGTATCGCTAATCTCGGTGTACACAGGCTCTTTTCAGTGTTTTGTTGTGTCAAACATGTTGTACGTCGCAAAATCTTTGGAAGGAAAAATAGTAATTTAAGCAATATTGATGATACAGGGTGTGATATTGCAAGAGACTGAATTTTGCTTTGTAAGCCTTTGTTGCTATTAAAATATCGGAAGTTACTGTTTATAAAAATGTCATTTCTCAACGCATAACTTCCGTTTGAATTGGATGTGAATATCTCAAATTTCGCCCACGACTGCACAGAACTGTCAATTAAATTATCATTCGCGGACCGTGGTTGGCGCATACTTTGAAAAATCCTTTTTTTTCCTCAAAATATAGCAAAGCAAACGCAGCATGCTCCCCATGCTGAGTTCGTGTTATTCGTCATGAATAACATGAATGAACTTAAATGAACGAACTGATTTAAGTGATTTTATTATTCTACAGAGCAGTATTTATAGTTTTCATTACAAGATCCACGCGCTATGAAATATGAATGCGTTGTTAGAATGTGGTGTTAGGCCCGTTTCAAACGACAAACTTTACAAATGCCGAATGCATGAAAAACAAAAGATAATGAGGAATTTGTCTCATTTTTCTTTGCCTGAAATGCGTTCGGCGCATGTAAATTTCGACGTTTGGAAACAAGCCTTAGATTAATATTATTTCGCCTAAAAAATAAAAAGTATATGAGTATAGATGTTTAAAACTTAATGCGAAATTATTTTTCAAACAATTTTACGTTCAATTTTAAACATTTCTGGGAAAACGTTTAGTCATGCATTGTTGCATGACCTGCATGACCGCTGACGTCGCCACAAGCTATAATTTCATAAAGTAGGTGTCACCACTGTAGAAAGTAGTATTAAGTTACTGTTAGACTTATTTTATTAGTGGGTTTATTTTGATATAATTGTTGTAAATTGTCATATTATGTTGTGTAGTGTGTGAATATACCGTATGATAAATTGTAAAATGTAAGTCATATATTACTAGACAAATAGGAAAATACGTATATAATTATTAATCTGTGGTTTCAGTGGAAATCTTGTATGTAAATTCAAAATACTTAGGAACACTTTTTCTACCCAATGTAGCATTGCGGTAGGATGTAGGTAACGACGGTACTCTATAAACGGAATGGCGTAGTTGCAAGTCATGATAACGCCCAAAAATTATGTCCTAATAATTATAATATAAATAAGAGCTTGCAAGAGTTGGTTCGGCATTCGGAAAATAACTATATAAAAAGCAAGAGGCATTCACGCTTTTTAAAACCACATTTCGGTCCTCTTTTGTTTTTTAACGTGCTCTGAAAATGACTTCTGAAGTTGAGGAAGATGAGACAAACGAACTTGTCAATGTAAAATCGCAACAATCAGCTGAGGTGAGCATTGTCCTTTCATCATTTTTCAAATTGCTCTGAATGAATTCTAAGATTATTCTAAAGAAATACTAAATATCTTCATTTAGGAAAAATGGAGTGCCATATTTAGACGAAAACGACCATCACCATCTCTGAATTCCAATGCTCCACCGGAGAAGAAGGTGAAGAAGGATCAATGTGATCCACACATATGTTTGCTTTGTTCACAAGAGTTGACAAGAGGATCCAAGTCGTACAAACAAAGGCATTGGGCAAGAAAACATAGTGGAGAGAAAAGAAATAATATGTCAGTCATTGTGCCAGTAAATCATGTGAAGGCTCAAGCATTGTTCAAACAAAAAAAGATTTAACAAAGGGTAGAGCAGATTGCAAATGACGAGAATGTTAATACAGTCAATACAGATCTGTCATCGTCATGCACGTCCACGATCACGTCCATTTTTTTGGTCATGAGGTATATGCGAATGAGGATGACAGCACTCAGACCAGTACTTCTTATACTGGAAATACGAATGTTATATTTCCAAATGTATTGGTAACTAAGGATAGCAACACAGCAGGGAAAATACAATCCACGGTAGCAGATTTTTTTGACGAACAAGGATCGCAAGAGATTGATGACGTATCAAACAATCCTATTGCTAGAATTGAGGATGGTGTCAACCAAATTCTAGTCAGATTACAGGCATTAAACATGGATGGTGCTGTTAGAAAAAGATCAAACCAAAATCCCATAACAACCGAGATAGAAACTGTTAGCGATGCTGGTGTGAAGGCTGCCAGCAATTTGGTGGAATTGTCCAATTGCGAACAAATACAAGTCGATATTCTGACATATGGATGTCGCGTAACCTGTGTTCCTTGCCACGAATATATCAAAGGAAATCCTCTTTAAAAAATGCAAGTGATTGTTAATTGTAGAATACAAAGTGTATAGATGTAATCTTATTAACACATTTCCTTAACTTTTAGGAATGGTCAAAACAAATCCTGGGGTCTTGGTCTGGTCTATGATGTTGCTCGAACTGAAAAGTACTCACAAGGATCCAACCAAGAATGGTACAGTTTTAAGAACAGAATTCTCGAACATGTTAACTGTAGTTCAATGCGAAATGCTGGTCAATTTCATATGAAGGCCTTACAGTATCATTTGAGTCAGAAACCACGAAAGGAAAGAAACATTGACACTAACGTTAAGCTGGTGTATGCAGGAATAGAAATATGTAAGATCAAGACGGCGGCTTTATTGTACGAGTCATTGGTAGCATTCCTTTCCTTTTGTGGAGTAGACGTTGGGACTATCGGACATGGAAGGTTTGATTTTAAGGGTTTTTTTTGTATTGCAGGGGTTTTGTCATTAATCTCAGCTGTCTATCTTCCAACATTATAGAAAGCAGTTTCCACATATAATAAAGGCTGCATATATCCACGTCATTAAGCAAAAGGCATCGTATCTACAAAAACATTTGGTAAATACTGGCTTGCCCCCACTTTTCAGTTGCAATAGACAAATCTACTCCTCACAGAGACACGAATCAGGCCATAATGATCTTTTTACCTGTGAATGGTAAACGCACTGCGATGCCAATTGATGCTCCACTAGTGTACGAGTACAGAGATGCAGATTCCGATAACGAAGACCCTATTAGAGGAGGTTACTTGCCGTACAAGTAATTGAAATTTTAAAACGATCATTGCAGCTAACTAGCTCGGATTTAAGGTTGTTGCGAGGTAGGATGTTATTATGAGAGCTGACTGAGTCGATGTGTGAGTAATTTGCTAAACACGTTCTCCATTGGCTTACTTTCATTTTCTAATTGCTTCTAGATGTTCATGCTGATGGACAGTACCAAGCGAGTACATTTCAAACGAAACTATACGAGCTTTTGGGGATGCATCGAAAACCAGATCCATACTTTCTTCTTCCTTGGGATGCATCCCACTGGCTAGACCTAGCGATCGTTTTGCTACGTGAAAATTCCTTGTCTTCCAATTTTATCAAGCTTATCATCAAACGCTCTAATCGCTTGCACACATTATTTGGAAGTGGCCGAGAACATGCTGTGTACAAGACGTATTCCAAAAATCAAGGATTAAAACGCTCGAATCTGTTACATATGCAACCACGTGATTTACCTGTTGTGCTTTCGATCAATGGAAGAAAATTTACAATAGTTATCCCGCTTTGTTTACGGCATACAGTGCAAATCGAGAAGATAAAAAAGATGATTGTGATGAGACAAAATACCAACTCAGAGGTCAAGATTTTGCCATATATCTATGTGGAATAATTGATGTGTTTCAGGCAGTTGTTTCGTTAATGATCAAATGTCAGAGCTTAAACGTACCTCCCTGGAAAATTGTTGCTTGGTTTCCGATAGTCACTGACATCTTGGAGGACATCAGGACAGAATTAAAGCGACTTAAGGACGGAGATGTTGTAAAACCAGCTGAAAAGTTGTTGCCAAGACTTGCAAAACATTGGCATGAATTAACAAAAGAACAAATTGAAGAATGTTCGTTTCATGGAATACAAGTCTGCGAAGGATGGCTCTTAGTCAATGAGAGTGAGCAACTCGTCGAAGAACCGTCTACAGACAAGACTGGGAAACAACATAACTTGGGAGGCACGATCACCAAATGATTGCCTAGATGGTCTTTATAAACTCACAGAAGATATTCCAATGTGTCCAGCATCTCGCTACAAAAACATTAAGATCGACAACATCACTAAGTTAGAAGCTGTGTTTGACATTGAGGGACTAACAAAGCTTCTTTGTCATTTTTCTCACGCTAATGGGCGGATCAAAGTCAGCAGGGCTGGAAGACATCTTTGGGATTTTCGCGGGAAAAGAGAGTTTGCCGATTTTTTCAAGTATATTTTGGGAATATTTATCTTGGCCTTACTATGTGTAATAACTTTATCACATGACATTCTTACCTAATCTTTCTACATCTTCATGTTTTAGGTATGTTTGCCAATTGCCTCATGTCATGCAGCTACTAGACGACCAACCATTACTGAAACTGTTGCCGCATAACAGTGATAATGTCTTGGAGCAATTTAAAGAAACTGTGATGAGAATGGTCTGGGAAGGTCTTGGTAATTGTCGTTCGTATGTGTTCATCGATGAAAAGCACCAACCAGTGACAGAATTTGAAAAGGAGCAGCTAATTTCCCTTAAATGCATTGAGGATCCTGCACTAGATTTGTGGTTTACACTGAAATTTTCTTCGGGAAAGGCAGTGAAAGCAACGATCAACGAAGAATTTGTGTACACCAGCATGTACACAAATGAAGATATAATAAGGTCAATTGGTCAAGAAATGTGCATCGCCCTTGACGTAGCTCTTTCACAAGTGGTTGTGAGGCTATAGTAGAAGGATTTTATAGTCTTATGGGTACTCACAAGAAAACTGGAGCCCAATCTAATGAGGTTTTGGTTCATAGATCTATAGTAGATTGGTGCGTTCTTCAGCCCGTTTCATGTCCTCGTACCACGAGAGCCATTGCAGAAATTTATACAAACGGTGATGAAGACTATAAGCTACCAAAACATCGGCTACCATATTTTAAAGAACACAGAGCGTCAAATTTTGAAGTTAGCAAAGTTGTGGATAGAGTGAGGCTCATGCCTCCTCGATGTCCACATGTTTTGCATGAAAATGATTTTGGTGAACTATGACGGAGTTGTACTCACTCAAGGATTTATAGCTTTAAATGCGATATTTTATCTTTTAGTTTTTACTTTATCTGTAAACTGTAAATGTACACTGTAATTGTAAATGCTTGTTGCCATTGTAAACTATTCAACAAACACGCAAGAGCTTAAAGTTAACTACTGCGTTATTTCAGGAATACTCAGCACCACATGCATCATTGAATTACCCTGCCACGCCCACAAATATGGCGGAATTTTGCCACGCCCAAACATGCCTGGTGTGCAATAATATTATTAAAAAAAATCTCCGGTGTGCAGTAGACATACTTTCCATACTGGATCCACACTATCACAATGTGAGCATTTAATTATGTTTATATCCATTGTTGTATTCATAGCTTATAAAGTGTATTTGTGCATTGTATTGAACTTAATTCACAGGCCAAGAATCAAGAACATTCAAAAGGAAACGACCAAAGACTCAAGGAGAGATGAAAAATGATGTTCAGCAACTTCATGTTGAGGTTCTTCAACTGGAAAAAGAAAAAATGTTGTTTGACAAGCACAACCTAGAGTTGAAGAAAAAAAAACTCAAACTACAAGTACAGTTACTTGAGAGGATAGTTGAAATCAGTGAACAACCCCCTTCATTTTTTTTAATAAACTAGTCAACTGAAATATGTTTGTGCCATATGCTCCCTTGCTGCTATTCCATCTGTTTCCCCTGCATCCAACAAAACATCTTCATTTTCTTCTTCCAGTGCATCTTCTCCAAACTCATCTTCTTCAACTCCAGGCTCTTGTCTTAGAATGCAAATGTTATGCAATACTGCACAAGCCATTATAATGGTGCAGACTCTATCTAGTTTCATCCTAAATAGAGTAAACATGCTTGCTAGGATTTGATGTTGTATTAAGGCTCATAAAGACTCACTGATACCTTATTTCTGAATGCAAAACATGAAACCTTCTTTTCCAAATGCCAATGGTTCTTTCAACCAAACACCTTGTTTTTTTATGTGCCTTGTTAAACTTTTTCTGGCATGGATGCACTGGATGGAGGTATGGAGTCATCAAAAATGACCGTAAGGCATATCCACTGTCCCCCAACAGCACATCATTATTTGCTGCATGATCCATTTCTTCCAACCTTCTACCAATGGTAGAGGACCGGAAGATGAATGAATAATGACATGATCCTGGCCATCGTGCTACCACATTGATAAATTTGCCTGCATAAAATTAATTTTTGGAAATTTTTTTTTAAGTAGGTTGTATTAATACTTGTAGGATAAATTAAGTGGATAACTTTGTAAAATTCTATTGTTATGATTATGTATTATATTATGATTATTGAAGTGTATTATATTATGGTTCTTGAAGTCTAGTACATTATGGTTTTGAATATTAATTAAACATGTTTAATATGCTCATATTTACCTTTGTCATCACAAATGACTTGAACATTTATGCTGTGGTATCCTTTTCTATTTACATAATTTGGCTCGTTTTGGAAGGAGCAATTATACGTATATGTGTGCCATCAACGCAGCCAATGGCGCAGGGAAAAGCCGCAATTTGATACATCCCAGTACAAATAGCATTTTTTCCCTCATTTGTTGATGGGAAATTGATGTAGTCTGCGTGCTTAGAAGCCAATGCAAGTGCGACTTTACGCACTACTCTCGAAACAGTGGCTTTATCATAACCGTGAGTATCGCCAATGACTTGCAAAAAGCTCCAGGACGCAAAGAAACGAAGAGCAATGACCAATTGCTCTTCGGTTGACAAGGCTTTGTTACGGTTTGTTGTTGGCCGTACATCGTTTGCAATCAATCGTGAGATATGCTGCAACGATTCTCGGCCAAATCTGTACCGTTTTCGGAGGTCATTGTCGGAAAAACCTTGCCATGGAAGATGTCGATTAAAAACTCGAGGTAAACGTTGCCGATCGATTACATTTCGCTCAAAAATATCTATAAGACGTATTAAAAGCCGCCATATTTAACTGTGTTTTGAAAAGTTAACTATGCTCCACAGCATAGTTAACTTTAAAGGACATTGAATGTTTTATGCAGTGCGGTATTTGAAATTAAATGAAGATACGATCTTCGCACTTTGTTGGACAATTTAAGCAATCGTCTCAGGACCTGAAAAAATCAGGTGACTCAACGGGATCCCGTTGAGTCATTGCATTAACTGCATTTAGCGCTAACTACTTTTTTATACAACCGACTTAACCGCGTGGTTAAATTTAACTACTTTTTAACTGCAAAAAGTGTAGTTAAAAAGTAGTTAAGGGCTTTATTCAACCGGCCCCAGATCTATTTTATTTTCCGAATATACTTGTGTTTTGTGTCTTTCTTAGCGTTGCGAAAATCATCGCAGAATTATTCTCAAACTTTTTTTTACTGTGCATAGGGAGATGTTTTGGACAGATTGGGGTGTTGAACCCAAAATCGAGAAGGCTGGTATGGATGGTGAACCGAGCAGCCGTAAAGCAATCATTACGACTAGAATCATTTGGCCAAATTCTCTTACTATCGATTATACAATAGATCGCATTTGGTGGGTGGATGCTAAACTCGATCTGATCGAATATTGTGATTTAAATGGCAAGAAGCGTCGTGTAATCTTAACTAGTGATACGATTTTCCATCCGTTCTCGATATCCTTGTTTGAAGATCACATTTACTGGAGTGATTGGAGTAAATTTGCAATTTATAAAGCAAATAAATTTACTGGAAAGAACGTGACAGTTCTTAAGAAAAGATTAGTGAACACACTTGGAATAAATATGATACATCCTCAACGACAACCTGCAGGTAAGTTGACCAAGTGATGAACAAGTGTTGAAATCGTGTATTCCTAAATAATATATTTGTCATGGCATTGACCGTGTTATAGTTTCCTTTGAGACTTAATTCTGTTCGTAAACCCACAGATTTTATAAAATTGCATGTATTAATAAGTCTTGCACTTATCTGACAATCAACGATATTGAGGGATTATTCAGACATGCCGTCTGAATATTTATTTTGAATATTTGTTTTAGCTTTCAACTTTTGTCTTAAATACAATGGCGACTGCAGTCATCTTTGTTTGCTTTCTCAAAAGAATAAAACCAAAAAGTGGAAAAGGTTTGATCAATATTCATGTGCTTGCCCTGATGGCGTTCAACTGTTGCCTGACAAAAAGACCTGTAATCTTTCTGGTATGTTTATGTTATTTCTAAATGACGTGACCTTTGATGCTCAATTGATAAAAATTCTTTATCTACCCTGCACCTTTTGTTATACATTACTTGTATATTTTTTATACAGTGGCATAATCATGGGGATCTAAATAACCGCCGCCACGTGTATGGTCGCCATTCAACTTAATGCTTTTTAGCTCGGCCTAAGTCGGTTTTTGACTGCTCACCAATGTAAAAAAGTAAAGCACAATAACGCGAAAAATACTTTTTTGAGATTGCAGATTCTCGTGTTTATAAGTGCTCCAGACATAACAATCACCATGCATTGTCGTACCATGTTGCTTCTAGAGAAGAAATGATCATTGAAACGGTCATTGTTCGTTGAACGGCTGTTAGTTTTAGCCGTGGGTGTATATCGACCATTTCTTATCCTGTAAAGTAGATAGTAGTTATTAACTCCCAGATCGTATCTTGTGGATCGGGGTTTATACTGTGCTTTCTTTGTATGACGAGTTGTGTTAGTGTGAAAATTTATGTCGCCGACAGCCCCATGAACTATCTAGTATGCGAAAGAAAATAGTGCTATTGACTGCATATATGCTTTGTTGTTTATTCTGCGCTCTAAACTAAAAATCTTGTAATAAGTTTGGTATATTTTAATACATTTAGAAGCTTTATTTTGCGAGAAAGGAAGATGCAACAATGGAACATGTTTACCTGGAAATGAGATACGTGGCCCTATTTGTTCGTAAGCAATTTAATTTATTGTTAGATTTTGGTGCTTGTAAAACTTGTATCTTTGAAAACTTGATTGTTCACTTATAACAATAACATAATAAACTTTATTTTTAGTTGAATACTATACTACTAATGCTCAATCCTCCTTTTTTTTTCATTGTGCAGTTTTTATTTAAAAACAAAATAAGCCATTTGACCATTTCATGTTCAAGTTGAATGTTTTGTTTTTATCTAGGTGCCATGATGGTTACACTGGTGAGCGTTGCGAGTTGAAAAAAGATGAACATGATATGGCTAGCGCGAATATTGCTCGTGAAAATGGTAAGAACAACAGCCAATTGTGTCTCGTTTTCTCATACTGTATACATGTCACACCTTTTTTTTTCAAAATTTGACATCTGAAAGTTTTGAATAAGGCATTAAATTCCAACGGATATTGTAATCGGTAGTTGTTTTTGAAAAATTTAGCTATTACTATCGGTATAAGTGTTGGTTTGGTGATGTTCATTTTCATTTCCTGTGGCATCATAGTGCTTGTATGTCATAAAAAGATTCAGAAACGATACAGGTTGGTGTGAAGTTTGTAATGATATATTGGTTTTGATTCTTATAGATACTGCGTTCATTTGACTTGCATTTGCAATTAACTACATATGTTGACTTGTTTTACCTTTAAATAACCAATCAGAATAATTGTATAATAATTGTACTTATGTAACGTTTTATCTAGCCATTCTCGAGGGGACTCCTTACGATTCGAAAATCCTGTTTATACACAAACCACTGAAGTTATAGACTCTGGCACAAGCGTAGGAAGTCTGTTACCATTCAGATTCAGAAAATCACCGCAGGTTTTGCAGGTTTGTGGAACATTGCAATTGAGTAACGTTGCAACCTGCTGCTCAATTATTTTGACTACCTGATTTTTTACCATCCTATCCCAAAGTAAATTTTAGATTTTGGAATGCTGTAACATCCAATAAACGGCTACCCTAAATGCTCCTAACTTTATTGACTGTCGAGTTTAACTTATAATTAGATGATTAGTAATGGATTTCATCAAAGTAATTTGAGTCTGTTTCATTCATAGGAACCTTTTGCTAAAGATCCCGAACCTGTTGATCTGTAAATGAGAATTGGAAATGATTTTTAAGGCGGTTCAAAGATGCCGTGTGTTCACCATTTAAGCTACATCTCACAAGACTTAGTCTTTCATTGCTGAAACTGTACAGATGTGAAGAAGTTCTCTACGAATTTTTTTTGAGCAGCGTATTTTTAGATTTGCAGATGCACCATACACACAATTCATTTCAGTAATGTTGCATCGACAAGTGAAAATACGAAGTAAATTTGGTCAAATTTTTGATCACAACTTCTATTTAGATTAAAATATTATTAAAGTAACAAAAACATTAATTGTTACTTTTTGTGTGCTCTGGCGATTACCGTTCATGGTAAATATTTGTTGTAGTTGGTAGACTTATGTAAAGTATTACGGGGGGAAATTGTCTTTTTAAATGAAATTAAATGATGATATTATTGATTCGCATGCTAGTACCAAAATACCAACAGTTCTCATGTAAAAATCCTGCGTGTATGTTAACACCCGCTTACACACAATGTAAATAGCAGTAAATCATTAGTAGTTTACGATAATTTGCCGATCTGTGTATATTTTTCATACATTTAATCATGTATATATGTGTAAAGTACTTATAAAAATTTAGTCAGTTCAAATTCTATTTCTATGTAGCCGTATGAATACTTGTTTAATCTTTGGCTTAATTACTGTTCCTTTTGTTTGTGTTATTAAGAATTAAACGTGTTTAAGCAATTACGCAATCTTGTTTCATTAGAAAATATTCCAACTTAAAAGAAGTAAATAAACACAACATAAAAAGGAAGTCCCCTCTGACAAATTTTGTCATAAATTCTGAGGAGATGAATGAGGCGCAGCTGCCATTAGACCTGCAGTAATTTTCTAACTGCCATTTGGTGAATGACGTTAGTCATGTTTTATAAATAAACGTATAGGAAGATTCCTACATTGCTGTGTCAGAACAGGGCAACTGCAATTGGCATTTTATAAGCTGTTTGGGATTCACCTTTTGCATATACGGAAATTTCAAATTCTTATGTGAGACTTCTTTTTACGAGGTGTATAGTTGGAAAATGCATGATTATGGGATAAAAATCATAGAACATTTAACCTTAAAAGAATATCTAATGAGAATTGCAATCATTGCCCATATATAACTGCCAAGTTTTGAACCAATTCTACCATTCGCAGTAGTAAATGTAAAGATGTCTATCACGAATTCAGCATATTTTGAAGAAGTTTAAATTTTTCCATGTTTTATGAAATAAGGTTGAGAGAGGGGTAATGAGTGTAACTGTTGAGATTACAAGAAACTGGCTTACACATTCTAGGAATAAAGAAAATTAGTTTGTGAAACTTAGATGAAAGAAAGATGAAATGTAAAGCTGTTTGACTCCAATAA